GGAATTTGTCTTGGGTGAAAGGCAGCTGGAGGAAAAGAAGATAAAACTGTTAATAATAATAATAAATAATTCTTGAGTCGCCTAAACCTCGTGATACCTGGCAGATAAAAGCAGCCACCTCTCTGACAGGGTTATTTTGACCTTCTGCCTTTCTGGGCTGTTTGGGGGATAGTTAAAAGCCTCCTCTCGTTATTTCCCCCCATGCCAAGTTTGGAAGTGTTGGGTATGGGCAGTTTAAAGACCGGTATCACAGTGTAACTGAAATAAATTGTTCTCTCTAAATACACATCCTGAAAGGATGGGAGAGTTTGGGGTGTTCCCCTGGAGAAGAGAAGACTCCAGGGACACCTGAGAGCCCCTTGCAGGGCCTAAAGGGGCTCCAGGAGAGCTGGAGAGGGACTGGGGACAAGGCCTGGAGGGACAGCACACAGGGAATGGCTTCCCACTGCCAGAGGGCAGGGTCAGATGGGAGATTGAGAAGGAATTGCTGTCTGGGAGGGTGGGCAGGCCCTGGCACAGGTTGGGCAGAGAAGCTGTGGCTGCCCCTGGATCCCTGGAAGTGTCCAAGGCCAGGTTAAGCAGGGCTTGGAGCAAACAGATGAGGAGAACCAGATGAGCTTTAAGGTCCCTTCCAACCCAACCCAGTCTGGGATTTGATGACTCCAGGATGTCTCCTAGAAAATGTTTAATTGAGGTCCTGAGCAGTTTAAAAGCTTTGGAGTAACCTCTGGCTCAGCTCTTTGGTTTGCTGTGTAACCACGGGCTCTGCACCAGGCCAGGACCTTTGGGATCTCTGGGAACTTGGCATCCTGTGTCTTCTGGGATGAGACTGCCTGGAACATCCCAAAAGCTGCTGGGGAGCTTGGAGGTGCCAGGGGGGATTGCTGTGGGGTGAGGGACAGGCCAGGGTGGGGTTGGGATGGGACAGGAGGGATCTCCTTTCCCATGAGGTATTATCCTGATTCCAGCACACCATTCCCGGGAACTGGGTGCTGGGGGAGCACAGCCAGATCCCATCCTTTGCCATCTGAGAAGGTTTCAGAGCGAGCTCTGGGATAGCAAAGACACTCCCCATGTGCTCAGCTGAACACAACCCGTGTTCCTGAGCACACATCCAGGGCTTCCTCAGGCACAGGCACTGCCATGTGTGCCCGACATCTGAGCATTCCTGGATGCAGGGATGTGCTCCAAACCCCCTGGCCAGGCTGGCTGGGAGAGCAGGATGCTGCAGTTGGGAGCATCACAACACTGCTGTCGTGTTTAATGGGTCAGGCAGGAGCTCTGTGTGACCAGAGATGTTTTCCTTTGGGAAAACATGGACTCTGCACACCCTAAATCTTTCCCAGAGAGCCTGCATGTCCTCTGGCTGATGGGAGCTGCCAGTGGATCTCCGCTGTAAGTGCAGGAGCCATGTGACAGAGCATTCCCAGTTGTGGATGGGGACAGAGCAATCCAGAGCTGGGTGTTTATGGCACTGGGGCAAAAACTGTTTGCAGGCTCAGTGAGTCTTCATTTCTCAGCTGAAACAGCTGAAGGTTGGTAATTCCTTCAGCAAGCAGCAGGGCTGGCTGTTGGCTGTAGTGTCCAGGAAGAGGATTCATGTCACCTTCCCCCCCCTAAAATGCTGGGACATGCCAGTTCACTTGGAGTGTTGTGTTCCCCTTCCCACCTCAGCACACGTTTTCCAGCAGGCTCAGTGTGAGGCCGGGCAGTGAGCACGAGAATGAGAGCAGGACCTGCTGTCCTCTCTGCTCTGCCCTTTTCCCTGGTGGCTTTGGGACTGCTGCAAACCTCTGTGTTTTCATCAGAGCTGAGTTACACTAATTGACGAGAGAGGCAGGGGAGAAAATAATTAATGAGTTGTGTGAAAAATGAATTTGCAGAAGCCCAGAGTGTAAAGGCTGTGAAGTAAGAAAGGAGGCTTTCATTGCCTTGGATAATATAATTATCCAGCAAAGCCTGTTTCCTTCAAACTGTCAAATCTGGTGTCACTTGAACTCACCGGTCCCCCACTTGACAGAGTTCCTCTGGCTCCCAGGGGGTCGTGGTTGAGGGTAGGTAGTGATAGTGATCCTTGAACGTTATGTGCGAGTGTGAAAGTGGAAATAAAGAAGTGAAAGGGTCTCCTTACAGAATCTCAGGGTAACTGAGAGTGGAACAGCCCTCCAAGACCACAGAGTGCCCCCTGTGCCCGATGCCCACCTTGTCACCCAGCCCAGAGCACTGAGTGCCACGGACACCTCCAGGGATGGGGACTCCAAACCTGCCTGGGCAGTCCTTCCCATGCAGAAATCCTCCCTTTAGGAACATTTTGGTGTCCAAGAAGAAGGTGGGGAATGGCTTCTTGGCTCTTCCTTTTCCTCTTGCTTCCGTGTTGCGGTTTCAGCAAGTGGGAGCTGTCAGAGCAGAGCTCCCTGCTCCCGGTGCTGAGCAGACAGCAGTGTTTGTGTTGGCTTGTTGCACAATATTCTGTCAGTACTGCACAATATTTCTGGCAATATCCTCATCTTCCATCAAATGCTGCAAACAGACCCAAAAATCCTCCACGAGGCAGGCTGCTCTCCTGCCCCTCTGCTGCTATTTGCGGAGCAGTCAGTGCCTTATTTCCAGTGTGATGCTGCAGTTCAGCGTCGTGTGAGTCACAGTCCTGGGGCTGCATCTTCCAGATAAGCCACTTGCTGTTTGGCAGGAGTTGGGAGAGCAGGATCATGTGGCTGTGACTGTACCAGGGGGGATCTCTGGCACACGGGCAGGGCTGAGCCTGGCACAGCACCGGGGGTGGCCCTGCAGGATCAGCTGCTCTGCTTGCACTGCTTTGTTGTGACACTGTTCAATAAGTCAGTGCTCTCAGCACACCAGGAACAGCCAGCGTGGGGACTGCAGGTCCAGCCCAGGAACGTGTTCCTGCTGAATTCCCTTGTGGAGCTCCCCTGAATCACAGCAGGAGACCTGAGTAAATAGATAGGTCAGGTGTGCCCAGGTGGGCAGTGTCACCTGGGCTGTGCCAGCCCTGGGGTGTCCCAGCCCCAGGCAGGGCCTGGCCCACCCCCAGTGCTGGGGCACTGCTGGGACCCCAGCCAGGACACGGAGGGGCTGGAGCTGGGAAGGGGCTGGAGCAGCAGGAGGGGCTGAGGGAGCTGGGGGGGCTCAGCCTGGAGAAAAGGAGGCTCAGGGGGGACCTTCTGGCTCTGCAATCCCTGACAGGAGGGGGGAGCCGGGGGGAGTCGGGCTCTGCTCCCAGGGAACAGGGACAGGAGGAGAGGGAACGGCCTCAGCTGTGCCAGGGGAGGGGCAGGTGGGACATCAGCAGGAATTTCTCCTGGAAAGGGTGGTCAGGCACTGGCACGGGCTGCCCAGGGAGGTTTGGAGTGCCCAGCCCTGGAGGTGTCCAAGGCAGGCCTGGCCGTGGCACTCAGTGCTCTGGGCTGGGGACAAGGTGGGGATGGGCACAGGGGGGACTTGATTGATGATCCTGGAGGGCTTTTCCACCCTCAGTGATCCTGTGATTCTGTGATAGGGGGCTGTGCAGGTTCTGTTCCCCATTGCCCCCCATGGATCATCCCTGCTGTCCGCCCCTGTGGGTGCTGCTGTCCCTGTTCTCAGGCACTTTGCAGCACCCAGAAAATTTCTGGGGCAGTGAGGTGGTCAGAGAGTCTGGGCTGAGGAGCAGTGTCTGCTGCCCCCAGTGACAGCAGGAGTGGCCTTGTGCAGGCTCAGCCATCCCAGGGTGTGGTGCCTTCCTGTGGCAGGGCATTATCCCAGGTAGGACTGAAACTTGGAAAGAAGCCCATTCCTCCTGCAGGGTTTGTCTTGTATTTCTCATGATGCCTTTTGATTTATTATTTAGAGTATATGTGTTTACTCTTCCTTCTTCCTTTCTACTGCTGTTGAAGCTTTGCTGTCCTTAAATAAAAACTGTGATGATCAGCGGGTACAAAAGTACCTTCAGAGTGTTTGGTGGGCAAAGAAATTTGTTCTTCTGGTCTGGGTTTGCAGCTCCTGGTCTGGGGGGGTGGTTGGGTTTTTCTGTATCTCTGTGGCTGAGGAGTTCCCTGGTCTCTGCTACATCCCAAAGGAAGCAGCAGGAAAAGCAGGATCAAAATCACAGCTGTGGGTGAGATCCTGTCAGGCAAGTCCTGCTCTTGGCATGAGGAAATCTGCCCTTGCCAGTGGCAGGCCAGGTTAGGAGTATGGAATGAGGAGAGCCCCTCAGTGGTTCATTGCCAGCAATCTTCTGATGGATATGCAGTCACATCAGTGGAGATGGATCTGCAGCAATGGCTGTGGATTCACAGCAGTATTTAAGAGTATTTTGCTTTACGTGGAGAGTAAGAATATTGACTCACACTGTCCAGACGTGTCCCTGTGCTGCAGGATGTAAATCAATCTGAGGGGAGGACATGGTGGTGCAGAACAGCTCTCCTGGAGCTACAGGCTGTGCAGCTCTGTGTTGGGCTCACCAGGAGTTTTAAACATTCCCTGTTTTACAAGGTTAAAGCCCTTCCCCTGTCAAGAAGCCTTTAATAATGTCATTTTTGCCTTTTTGCCCCTGGAAGCCCAGGACAAAGCTCAGTGGGAGTGGGGGCAGAGCGCTTCCACAGTAGAGTGTGTTCATGGGGAGGGATGACTCAAACCAAGCTTTCTGATACCTTAATTACATCTGAGGTGACCTAACCCTTGACTATCCCGAGTCTGAGGCTGCCAAACAGGATTTAAATGTTATAAAGACTCCTGGGCAGTGCCCACAGCTGAGCTGGATTTCCCTGTGTCAGTAGGGAAGTGAAGGGAGAGGTTTCTCTTGGGATTTTTGCCTTGGCCTTAGTGCACCTGATGGGCAAAGCCAGGTTGTTTCTCTGCTGAATTCTGCAGGTTTTGTAGGTGCAAAACCCACTCAAAGAGATGAATGCACAGATATTTTAAGGGGGTTTTTTGGAATGTGGCTGGGGAAGGGGTTTCTGTTCGTTCCCTGTGCTTTCTTGGTGACCTGGCTTTCCTTTCAGGGCTCAGCAGATTCGTACACGAGCAGACCCTCGGACTCTGATGTCTCTTTGGAAGAGGACAGGGAAGCAATCCGCCAGGAAAGGGAGCAGCAGGCAGCCATCCAGCTTGAGAGGGCCAAGGTGTGTCCTGTTCAGCCCTAAGAGCTGAGTTCTGTGCCCCTGAGCCTGTCCCTGGGGTGACAATCTGCGACAGGGCTGCTCTTTTGGAGTAGTTTGGCGGTTGAGCCAAGCTGGGAACGGATAAAAATATTCTCTCTAAAGGGGGGTATTCTCCAGTGAGCCTGTGGGAAATCACTAGGGCTGAATTTTTATGGCTTTAACAACACCCTGTGCTGCAGTTCTTGCAGCTGGGTACAGCTGCTGACTGAGGGCAGTCTGCAGTGGTTGTGTTGTGTTTCCCTCTGCAGTCCAAACCGGTAGCATTTGCTGTGAAGACCAACGTGAGTTACTGTGGAGCTCTGGATGAAGATGTCCCTGTGCCAAGCACTGCCATCTCTTTCGATGCCAAGGACTTCCTGCACATCAAAGAGGTAAAACCAGGAGCTAGGAAAAAGGGGATCTGAGCCAGAGTGGATTAGCACACCATCCAAGAGGTGAGAGGAGGCAGGAGGGCACAGCAGTGCTGGTGCTTCAGTGGAGCTCCAGCTCCCTGGGGTGGTTATCCTGCACTTGGTATGGCCAGCCTGTTGGATTTCCACGGCACAGGAAGGAAATAACTCCCTTCAGCGTGGTGGGTCCGGGTTCTTTCCATCAGGGGAGGTTTGTGGTGGGTCAGAGATCGTGGAGCAGAAAGGGCTCCCAGTGATCACAGAGTGGAGCAGCACCAGGTCACACCAGGTCTTCATAAAGCACCAGATGGGCTTGTGAGGGAGAAAAGAAGACTTAGAATAACACATTAAGAAAACACTGAAGAGGACAGATACAAAAATAAGGGAAAAAACGGGAATAAATGGGCCCTAAGTATGGCTTTGGTAGAGAAAATTGCATTTTATTGCACGCTGAGCATATTTTCTGCAATTTTTCATTTGAATTGAGCCCTCCAAATTTGCATAACCCCCTGTTGTGCTGTAGATTGGTACCCAGGCTTGCAGCTTGCAGAAGCACTTCTTCATCTCTGCATTCTGGGGTTATTTTAGGGTGTTCAGCGCTCAGCTGCCTCTTTCTTTGAGCGTGTGCTCGTCATCACTTCAGAGCACTGAGCTCCCTCAGACTGAGCCCACCTGCTCCTGCCCCTCCAGAGGCACCCAGTGGGGCTGGAGCAGGGAATTGCTTTGCAGAAGGGCACAGGAGAGGCACTTGAATGCCCTGAGCCTGTTTTTGATGCTTGGCCGTGGCCACCTTTAGTGCCAGGGCGCCGATGGGGTTTAAGTGCTAAGCCCTTATCGCTCTGCCCTGTTCGTTCTCCCACACAAGAGTCCCAAATCCGTGTCTTGGCACTCCCTGAGTCGTCCTCCGAGGTCTAAATACCCAGGATCACATTGTCACTAAGCTGTAAACCAGCTGGCTTACTGGTGTTTGTCAGCTCTGCTGAGGGTTTAGCTTTATTTCCTTTGTTAACACTCCCAACCTTCAGCCTGCCCGGAGCCCTGGCTGCAGCTCAGTCGGATTTGGGGAATGGTGGAAAAAGGCTTTGCAGAATTCGTTTCTCAGCGATCTGGCAGGGCCTGATTGGATTAGAACAATGGTTCCAGATTTTGGAATGATGCTAAAATCTGGTTACAAAGTCAGGTCAGCCTGTGCCAGGGTGGAACAGCAGCAGCGACCGAGGAGCTGCTATTTTGGGGACGTGTCCTGGATGTCTCATCTGCCTCCAAGACTATACATTATGTGCTTACTTAAAAGATGAAGTGGCAACAATTCCTGACAAAGCAGGAGGAATCATGGGCCTGGCAACCAATGGGAGGGAGTGTGGGCCTCCCACACGCTGAGTAACATATGGGAGGGAATGACCTAATGCAGATCCCATGTTCTCACTGCATCCCTGGCTCCTCTGTGGATCACTCTCAGCATAACCACGGAGTCCCAGACTGGTTTGGGTTGGAAGAGACCTTAGAACCACCCAGTTCCAACCCCGACACCTTCCACTAGCCCAGCTTGCTCCAGCCTGGCCCTGGACACTTGCAGGGATGGGGAGTGCACAACCTCTCCAGAATGTTGGGTCCTGAAGGATTTGTGTGGTTTACAGGCTGTAAATAGTTCTGTCGACTTAACACACTTGAAGTGAAGCTTTGCTTCCTGACACTGTTCTCCAAGGTGAAGAACAGACAGTTAAAGAGTTGGGATGATAAAACAAGGGAATCTTGCACAAATAACACCCACAGCAGGACAGGTTTCCAAGGGGAGGGTGTGAGGACTGCCCTTCCCTTGGCTGTGGATGTAATAGGTGTGTGTGTATGGGTTCACGTTAATGTCTGTGTATGCACGGGTTAATAAAAAGCAAATTAATGTCTCCAAGATGCTGAGGCCCCGTGTTTCAGTCACCATCAGGCCCTGCTGTGCCTTGACAACGGGGACATGGGATTTCTGTGTCTGTGCAAGAGCTTAAGTGCTTGAAAACAAGAGCCAGGGGCCGTGCTCATTGTTAGGAGAGAGGCCTGTGATGGCTCTGATAGCTCTTGGCTCCGGGCTTGCAAACAAAACTGCTCTTAATGACTCTGGAGCCAGCTGAGAAGAGCCCTGGTTCTTGGGAGCACTGAGGGGCCCGGTGAAGCAGAACACACCCCAAGGTTTGCAGATAGTTTTGTGCCACAGCTCTGCCCCAGCAGCCACCACAAATCCTTTGCCACGCAAGCTCTGCCAGGACGCTGCTTTTCACCTGAGCATCCTTAGAGCTGAGGGCCAGACTGTGAACAGTGCAGGAGAACCCCAGTTCCCAGAGGCTGACGACAGTGAATGACCTGTGTTGCAGAAATACAACAACGACTGGTGGATAGGGCGGCTGGTGAAGGAGGGCTGCGAGATCGGCTTCATCCCCAGCCCCCTGCGGCTGGAGAACATCCGCATCCAGCAGGAGCAGAAGAGGGGCCGCTTCCATGGAGGGTGAGGGGGCTGCAGCCCTGCAAAGCCATCAAAACCTTCCCGATGGTTCCAGTGCACGGCTGGGGGTGGGATTCCCACTGGAAATGGGTGTTTGCAGGGACCAGACCTGGGAGATCCCGATGGGGAGAGGCAGGAAAAGCTGGGTTTGGCTTCAGGAAAGAGCAGGAGTTCAGTGTGAGGGGTAGGGACAGCAGTTCCTCAGAGTTTTGTGTCCCCATGCCCAGCTCAAAGACTCCCAGGTTTTTCCCCCCAGCTTTTCTTAAGGTTGTGGCTTTTTTCTTCCTTTTTTTCCCCCATTCACTCCACTTCAGCCCAAACCCCACTTTTCAAAGTTGATGACTTTTTTCATTCAGCTTCCTTTCATCCTTCACCTCCCAGCCTGAGCTCTCTGTGGTCCCACCCTGCCAGAGCTGGAGATTGCAAATCCCTGGGAAAATATGAACTCGGGCAGGGAGGTAAAGCTGAGGAGGGAAGTGTTTTCAGAAGGGCTGAACAGCATCAACTGTGCTCCTCCCAAATTGCTTTCATGGTTTTTGAAATAACTCCAGAGGGTCTCCGTGGGCAGGGGGAGGATTACCTGGTTCAGCGAGGCACTCCTGGATTTGTATGACAAAATTCAGAGTTGTATTTAAAATAAACAGTTTATTTTTGAGCACCTTTGTTAGGCAGAGTCACAGAGATCTGTATTACATTGGGATTCCTCGGGGGGGGCAGTTCCTCCCCAAACCCTCCCACATTTGTATCTCTGGGTGCCTTCACGGGGCTCTTTCTGCTCCCGCAGGAAATCCAGTGGGAATTCTTCTTCAAGCCTTGGAGAAATGGTTTCTGGCACATTTCGGGCCACACCCACTGCCACAGGTGAGACAAAATGTTATTGAGGGGGGCTCTTGGTGTTCTGTTTTCAAAACCACCCAGGAAAAATGCAGGTTTTCCCCTTAGCTGAGGGATTGAAGATGTTAACCAGCAAAGTGCCTGTGTGTGGAGGGGGAGGGAAACAGCTATTTGTGGCCATGCAGGAGTTGTTGAGGGGCTGGGAAAAACCTTGGGAAGAGTGGCAGCTGCCCCAGAAGGGACTGAAGGACCAGTTTAACCAGGGGGACCAAAGGGAGGGGATTCCCAGTGCATGGACAGAGGGGTTTCTGTTGGCACTGCGGTGTTTTAACCAAGTTCTCCTTTGATCTTCCAGCAAAACAGAAACAGAAAGTGGTAAGTAGTGCTTTTGCTTTCATTTTATGTCATTCTAACCCATAATTCCCGGGATTTTCGTACGGATCTCGTTGCATAAATGATCTGAAGGGTTGTTTTCCTCTTCCAGACAGAGCATATTCCCCCCTATGATGTAGTGCCATCAATGAGACCTGTTGTCTTGGTGGGTCCATCACTCAAAGGCTATGAGGTACTTGCCATGAATTAATGTTTTGTTACCTGCAATCTTCCTCAGTAACTCAGGGTGTGGGCCTGTTTGGTGATAGTTTAAAGTGACCCTCGCTTCAATAATTATCCAGAATGTTCTGTAAGCACCAAGAGCTTTACTTTGAGCCTGCCCTGCACATCCACTCTTTCCAGTGCACTTTTTCTTGATTAAACCAAGTTAGGAAAAGAGAATTTAATTAGCAAGAGATTTCCAGGGAGCTTCCTGGCTGTTCTTTTTTTCCACTTTAGCAATATTTCAGGTATGTTTGCAAAGAAACTTTAACCCTCCTAAAGGACTTGCCACTGTTGCACGTGGCAGTGGGCAGGGTAACGTGCCCAGAGAACCAGGCCACCCATATTTTGGGCTGCTGCAGATTCAAGTGAGCATTTCCCACGTGCCAAGTGAGCAGTTGGGTGAACTTCCCCATCTGTGAGTGTTGTGCTGAACCAGGAGCTAAGTGAACATCAAATCAAAGCTGCACTTCATTAAGCTTAATTAATGTTGGTGGTGCCTCACAGGATATTGTTAAACACACTGGAATGGCTCTTTTTTGGAAGATTACAGCGTGGTGCCACCACTGGAGTAATGCAGGGTTGTTATAGTGAGGGGGCTTTATCAGAATCTTTGAAGGTGCAAGTTCAGCCAAGCAGGAACTTCATGTTCTTTGCTGCCTTGGAATTTTATGGTGAAGTTCTTTGGCAGGAGTGAAGTCCATCTGTGCTGCACCACAGATCGATTTGCCCCTCAAGTCTGAGGCTGTTTGTTAATAAAAACCTCCTCAAACATCTGAAATACTCAATATTCAAACATCTGAAATACTCAATATTCAAACATCTGAAATACTCAATATTCAAACATTTGAAATACTCAATATTCAAACATGTGAAATACTCAATATTCAAACATTTGAAATACTCAATATTCAAACATTTGAAATACTCAATATTCAAACACCTGAAATACTCAATATTCGAACATTTGAAATACTCAATATTCAAACACCTGAAATACTCAATATTCAAACACCTGAAATACTCAATATTCAAACATCTGAAATACTCAATATTCAAACATGTGAAATACTCAATATTCAAACATCTGAAATACTCAATATTCAAACATTTCCATCCTGCCTTTTCTCCCTAAAAGAAAACGATGCTAAACACGACATCTTGAACATATAAATGTGTATAAATGTTAACACAGGTTATTAATTCAAATGACAAACAGTGGTCTGCATGAGAGAATGGCCAGTGCAGGGCAGGAGCAGGCAGGGGTGATTGCTGCCCACCAGAGGTACTGATTGTTGGCCGTATTCTTACCTTCTACTCACCTCTTTCCTTCCTTTTCCTTCCTTCTCCCTGCTTTTCCTCGCTGTCCTCCCCCCCTGTGCCCCTCCTGCCCCTGCCAAGGTGACAGACATGATGCAGAAAGCTCTCTTTGACTTCCTGAAGCACAGGTTTGATGGCAGGTGAGGAACACTGCCCTGCTCGTGCTGCTTTGCCCACTAACATTGCAGTGGTTTATTTTTTCATTTCTGATGCATGTTCCAAGCTGATTTACTGCCCTTTTTCCACCACTGGGGAGTGCAACACAGCTGATGTGGTGCTGCCAGTGCACTTGTCTCCATTTCTGCTGTGTCTGGGGCAGGATTTCGTAGTTTAACACGGTAATTCCCGTGCCTGGGTAGGTGTCTGCTGCATCTTTGGGATGTTCTGCCCTTCCTTCTTCCCAGTTTAGTCAGGATATTCTGACTGGGAAAAGGAGCTTACACTGTTCTAGCCAGTATATATAGCACTGAGTCAGGTCAGAAATACCTAAACCATGGGCACTGGGATGGGGAAAATCACGTGCAGAAATACTGGAGCAGGGCTGATGGATTTTTGGGAGCTGAACTGATCCATAAACAGCTCAGACAAAACGTTTAATGATCAACCTCTGTGCAAAACAATCCCCTCTTCTGGCCTGTTTGGAGCTGCCCAGCTGAAGTGATTTTCTGGGAATCCTAATTCCATTAGCAGTATTGGCAGCTGGATCAGGTGGGCTGTGGGGTTTCAGCACAGGGAGGGTAAGTGCCACCAGCAAACTGATACCATTGATTTTCGCTCTGAGGAACTTCCAAAAAGCTGCTTCTTGGTCCTCCTGCCAACTTTTATGGCTTTGTGGTCTTTCTCCTCCCTCCCCCCTCCCTTTTCTATTTCTTTCTTTCCATCTCTTCTGCAGTTTTGTGACAGGTCCATGTTCCCAAGAAAGGAACTGACTGTCCAAGGAGAAGCCTTTCAAAAGGCTGCAGTGGGACTTGGCTCCCTCCCCACCTCTGAATTCCCTGTGCTTTGCCAGCTCCTTCCTTTGTAACTGCAGCCTCCTCTTCTGCCCAGGGAACCAAAGGCCCCCAGTCCGTTAATTCCTCCCATTTCTATTTTAAATTCATTTATACTTTTGGCCCCTACTGTATTTTCTGGCAGTGCATTTATTTATGAATTATTTAGAAAAATACTTGTGAATCTTTTGAACCCTCCACGTGATGATTTCACTCAGAGCTGCAGAAATCTCAGGTTTGGTGGGAAGGCTGCTGGTCATTCCCTTGCTTGCTTTCTTTTCATTATTCCTGGCTCTTTGGCTCATCCCAGAGGAGCCAACCCATCCTAAATGGATTTGACGTGAGGGGAGGGCGTGGTCTTTGTTTGACAACATTTGGTCTTGTCAGTTCAAGGAAATCTGAACCAGTTCCAGGAAATCCAGTAGATGAAGTGAAAAATCACCTTCCTGCAGTGGAGGTGGTGCAGGGAAGTTAAACTGTAGTTTAAGCAGTGCAGGGAGCTGTGGTTTAACTTCCTTTTCTCTGGTTCATCCACGTCAGACTCGTGTAACTCGTAACATTCACGGCACTGTGGAAGTCCACGGAGGAGAGGAGGGAGCTGGGAGGAGGAAAGTTAATTAATGCACTAAGAGTGGCAGACACTGCATCCCAGAGTCCCTAATAGCTCAGGGAAGGGAAGATCCCTCACAGTTCCACAGCACTCCAGTTGTTTGGAATGATGACATAACCCAGCTGGAAAACATCTCTGAGGGGTGTTTGGTTGGGTTTGCCCTTTGGGATGGGGCGTGGCTGCAAACCCTGCAGGTCTGACGCTGTGCCTGTGCTGTGTGCGTGTCCCTGTGCCAGGATATCCATAACCAGAGTGACAGCTGACATCTCCCTGGCCAAGAGGTCTGTGCTCAACAACCCCAGCAAGAGGGCCATCATCGAGCGCTCCAACACCCGCTCCAGCCTGGGTGAGGCACCGGCACGCAGGGAATTCTGGCTCTGGGTACAGCCTTTGGGTTCACACAAGGATGGGAGGGACTCCAAGGACCACCCAGTCCAAGCCCTGGCCCTGCACAGACACCCCAACAATCCCACCCTGTGCCCCAGAGCATCATCCCAACCCTCCTGGAGCTCTGGCAGCCTTGGGGCTGTGCCCACTGCCCTGGGGAGCCTGGGCAGTGCCAACCACCCTCTGGGGGAAGAACCTTTTCCCAAAATCCATCCTAACCCTCCCTGGCACAGCTGCAGCCATTCCCAAGATGCCCTCAGTTCTGCAAGTTTAAATGTGTGCACAGCATTTTACTGGATCATCCCAAGCTGGCCTCCCAGCACCTCCCTGTGCTTTTAACTCCACATCACAGGGGGCCAAAGAGCTTTCCCTCATCCAGCCAAGGAAAAGTGTCATTCCTGACCCTGGGACCAGTTAGGGGTGTTATGGTGAACATCTCCAGCTTCATTTTGCTGTTTAGCCATGAGATTTTGGCTCTTCCCCCTCTCCCTGCTGGAAGAATTTTGATTTGGACTCGATGATCTTGGAGGTCTTTTCCAACCTCAGTGATTTTGTGATGGGATGATTCCATGATTATTTCCTGCACACAGGTGGGAATTTGTGTGTAGCAAGTGCATGGTGTGTTTTTAAATAATACCCTGTCAATTATTTCACATAAGTGGGTTTTTGTGGTATAGAATTAGGAGGTTTCCTTTTCACAGAGACCCTTCTTGAAGTTAAGTCAGAGTTATAATATCAGAACAAAAAAAAGTAGTAAGGAATATCCAAACACTTGCTGATTAAAATAAAAAATCTTGTGACTCCCAAGCTGTTTAGCAGATTTGGAAAATGTACTATTTAGTGTTAGTAGATATTTAATTTTACCCAACATTGAAGACACTGATGTTATAAAGGAACATGGCACATCTGTGCTTTCAGGCAGCAGAATTGTCTCAGAGGTAATATTTATTTTTAAAATGCCTTGAGTAGCAGGTTATTTTAGGGAAGTGGCATAAATTCCCCTACAGACTCCATGCAAGCAAGTGGGTGATGGCATTTTTGTCCCGGTGCTGTGGGGTTGGATGTTTACACCTGCTTTGTTTTCCTTCCCCAGCTGAAGTGCAGAGCGAGATTGAAAGGATCTTTGAGCTGGCAAGGTCCTTACAGCTGGTTGTCCTGGATGCAGACACCATAAATCACCCTGCCCAGCTCATCAAGACATCTTTAGCCCCAATTATTGTCCACGTGAAAGTGTCCTCTCCAAAGGTAAAGCCTCTCGCCTTAAAATCCACGGGGCACCTGCAGGGCGGGGTGGGCTCTCAGGGGGGTTATCAGAAAGGCTTGGGCTGAGACTCAAGGACAGTATTTTGTGGAGAGCTTCTGACCTTGGCAGTCCTCCCGGGGGACGTCAGGCTGAGCTTTGGGGGGATAAACAAGCCTGGAACTCACCTTTCCCCCTCCCCTCCCCTCAGGTTCTGCAGCGACTGATCAAGTCCAGGGGCAAGTCACAGAGCAAACACTTGAATGTGCAGCTGGTGGCAGCTGATAAACTGGCACAGTGCCCACCAGTAAGTACAGCAGGGAGGCTTGGGGAGCTGGGGACACGTGGAGCTGTGGTGATTGCTGCTGCTGGGCTGGCCCCTGCTCAGAGCTGGGAATGCAGGGACCGGTGTTGGTACCGGGGCAGGGCCTGGCTGGTGATTTCCCACCTCTCCTGTGCCAAAGAACTGTGCTTGGAAATCAGCTTAATTCACAGAAATTCACAATAGACGCTGGCAAGGTTTCCATGTCACTTCAAACTGTGGCAAAGTGCTGACAGAAGAAATCTTGGAATGACTTAGGAACAAATGTGGGAGCTCAGCAGAGGGAATGCCCGACCCTAATGGTCAGATAATGCCCCTGGAACACTTTGCCTTGTGTTGTGCAGGCCCTGAAGAAGCTGCCTCCATTTCAGGTGGTTTTTATTCTCAATTCAAATTGAAGCAACAAAGTTCAAGCAGCCCTTGTCCTGGAGGAAGGATCCTCAAGGATTGATTTCCATGAACCATAACTTGGCTTTGAATGCTTCTTCAGATCCCAAACTTCACAGCCACCTCCCCTCTGGTCCCTACCAGCCATAAAAAGAGAGTTCAGGTATTTCTGGGCACTGCCCCTAAATTACAGGGATAGATGTTGCTTTCTAACCATTGCAGGTGGTGGGAATTGAGGCCTCGTGCCCCTGCAGTGTCCCAGAGCCCCTGCTGGGGCTGCCTTCAGAAAGACACCCTTTTCAGGCTGACAGGGAGGAGTGCAGGGTGTGTTTGCTCAGCAGTTTCAGACAGGCACAGAGTGAAGAATAACCAGTGAGGACCTGTGGAAACTCTGAGTTTTGGCAGGTGTTGGTAGTGTTTTGGTGCAGATTCACACTGCAGCGTTCAAAAGCAGAGGAAAAAGGTCACAGGTTTCACTGAGCTGTGATCTCTTGAAATGCTGACGAATTCCTGTGAGCCCTTCAGGCCCCACTGACTAAACCACACTTGTGCCCTGCTCTGTAGAACCGAACAATTCTGTCAGACACATCTCTTCCTGCCCCCCACGGGGTGTGAGGTGGCTGGGGCTGCCCCTGTGTGAACAGGCTCGTGGTGTTTGCCCTGAGCTCACACACAGCACAGCCCACCTTCCCCTGGGCAAGGTGTTTCCTTTGGCACCTGCAGAGAACCCTGGGCATGTTTTTTTTTTTTTGCTCTTTAGACAGCGATTTCTTCTTACTCAGCTTCACTTTGCTTACAGTTTAAATGAGGCAAATTGCCCAGAGAAGCTGTGGCTGCCCCTGGATCCCTGGGAGTGTCCAAGGCCAGGCTGGAGGGGCTTGGAGCAGCCTGGGCTGGTGGAAGGTGTCCTTGCCTGTGGCAGGGAGTGGGATGAAATGGTTTTGAGGTCCTTCCAACCCAAACCATTCCATGATTCTGTGAAATTATCAGTGCTGTAGCTTGTTGGTGCCTTGTGGCACTTGGATTGTCCAGCCCAGGACCTGCTGAGCTGTGCCTTAAACCCCAGTCCTGTAAGTCTATTCTGGTGCCTCAGGCAGCAAGGTGAGGCCCCACCTGGCTAAGAAAACTCTTTCCAAATGTCAGAGGTGTGCAGGAAACCCTCCTTGCTCAGAGGCTCTTCCTCCCAGCCCTGCACAGGAGCCTTCTCAGCAGCCAGCTCAGCACTCTGCTCTGGGCGATGGCAACAAAGGGATTGCTGACTTGGAGCAGTGACTGCTGACTTAGAGCTCTCCAAGGGACATGACAGCCCTGGTTAGGCTTAGATTCAAGTTGATCCATGATTTAATTAGCCAGAGTATCCTGCTCAGAGCAATGGTGCTGCTGCCTCTCCCCTGCTTCGTGGATCTCTCAGCTCCTGCAAGAGGAGAATTAGGAGTGTTTGTTCCAAGTAAACCACCCAATCCTCACTTTTCTCCTGTGCTGAGAGCAGCCTTGAGGAATCAGCCGGTGCTGCATGTCTAGACATTTTAAAAATAGCTGTCTCTTTGGGCATATTTGAGTTCAGGAACTGCTTTCATTATTAATTCCTTGCTAATCTCTCTCTGGTGCTGCTCGAGCCCGTGTTAAGCACTGCAGGACTCCAGGAACATTACAGGACTCCAGGAACTCCACTGCAGTAACATTGTATGGCTCAGAGGAACATGAACTGCACTGACTGTGTGCATCTTCAAATTCACTGCTCATAAACAGTTCACTGGGATTGGTTTTTAAACTTCTGGCCATCCTCAGAGAGAGGGTAAAAACCCCCCTGGGCTCTTGGACACAACCTCAGAAATAACTCAAATTGTACTCCAGCAGGACTGAAAGGCATTGGGGTAATTAAAATGTAATTAAGAGATATCTACAGGTTGAAATTCCTCCCCCTCTCAGGTACACAGTGGTCCTGAAGCAAACCAAAAGAAAGAGCAGAGGGCAGTGGCCACTGACTTTCTTTTCTGTGTAAGAAATATGTCTTTTATGCACATGGTAGGAAAGTGCTGCAGAGAATGGAGTGCCCTGCAAGGAGAGCTGGGGGGGAATTGCTTTTCTCCGTGACCCTTACAAACAGGGATCTTCTTAAAAGATGGAAGAACCCAATGTGAGCAGAACTGTTAAAAACAAGAGAAAGGCTGAGTGTTCTCTGTCATTATTTTCCCTGTGCAGCCCCAGGCTCGGGATCCTGCCAGGGGACACCCAGGGACAGCCTGAGGGGCTCCCCAGTCCCAGTGTTACAATGAAATATTAAAAAGGTGACAGTTCTTCTGCAGCTGCTAAAGAGTTCTTCTCCCCTAAATCCAGCTTAATTCTTTATTCAGGAAAACACAATTATACTCCCAAGTGTGATCGTTTAATTTCAGTCTTCCCAAAGCAAAATACATGTGAGCAAGCCACATTCTTTTACTTCCTCATTTAACTGTGTTTTAATTAATAACATCCTCCACAAGTGATGATGGGAGTGATAGACTGGAATGTGAGGTGTAGCAGCATGGGGGTGAATAGCAAAGGGGGTGAAAATGCTGTAGATCAATAGAGGAGCAAAACAAACAGCAGTAAACTCTGAATTGGACCAAGGGGTGCAGCGCTAGGAATATTCTGATGGGAAGGAAACTCCTTGCTGGCAGAGGAGAAACATCTCTCTGCCACGCTGAGAAGAGAGAATAAATTTAAAAAAAAATAATAAAATAAAATGGCTTTATCATTTAAAATCTTGCTCTGTGTGCAGGGAGAGCCCTGCACAAACAGGTGGAGGAGAAGCAGCCTGTGTTTGGTATCGGTTGCCCTTCACACCCGCAGCACCTGCACTTGTTGCTGCCGTTTCCTGTGCTCTTCTCACAGAGTCAAGATTAGAGATGAGATATGAAATTGAACTGCTGATAATAGGGTTGTGTTTCTCTCGAGGGGCTCAGCTGGTGATGGCTGTAGGTTTGAGAGCAGGCAGGGTGGCCAGACAGGCAGGAAGGGAGGCAGGTAAAGCCAGCACATGGACATAGTGGCTGAAGAGTTCCCTGAGGCAGGAATGCTGCTGATGTCAGCACTGCCCGGTGTAGGTATGGTTTTAGGGGCATCATCACTGGAAATAAATAGATTCCTTAAGGAGTTTTGGGCCTTTGAGCTTGGAGGGGCTCATGTGATGCTCGGTGACCCTCAGGGATGGGGTTTGGTGACTCTGCTCACCCTGTAAATCCACTTGTACCATTTTGTTTTGCACCCCAGAATCATCCCAGAATCATGGGAGGGACCTTCAAGCTCATCCAGTTCCAACCCCAACACCTTCCACTAGCCCAGGTTGCTCCAACCTGGCCTTGGACTCTGCCAGGGCTGGGGCAGCCACAGCTTCTCTGGGCACCCTGTGCCAGGGCCTGCCCACCCTCTCCCAAAGGTCTGGCATGTCCAGAGGTGCTGGCCACGTCTCACTGTGCCGTGTGTTGTGCCCAGGACATGTTTGACGTGATCCTGGACGAGAACCAGCTGGAGGACGCGTGCGAGCACCTGGCCGAGTACCTGGAGGCGTATTGGCGAGCCACCCACACCACCAGTACCACCCCCCTGACCCCCCTGCTGGGCAGGAACCTGGGATCCACCGCCCTGTCCCCGTATCCCGCTGCCATCTCGGGACTGCAGGTAGGAGAGCCCAGCCCAGCCCCCCCGGCCCTGCACACCAGGTGGGTTTGTTCATTCCCCGGGGAGCGTGTGAAGCGCTTGGTGCAGCGTGACCTGTGTGTGCTCCGGTAGTTCCTGCTCCCTGGTTGGCCACTGCCAGCAGTGAGGGGCAAGCTGAGGGGTGTAACCAGGGAGGAGCCACCCACTCAGCCCGGTGCTGAAGCACTGGGACTGCTCTGCCTTTAGTGGCACTAAAAATGCCCATCAGTTCCCTCCATCCAGCTCTGTGACCATCCCTTTTATTCCTCCCCTCGAAACCTCACAAAAAAAAACACCCTCTGTGCTTGTCTCTTGTACCAGCAGAATGCCTTCCCCTTTTTTGGGTTCTTTGAGTGTGAATAAAAGACATTCTTTTTTTTTTTTTTTTTTTTTTTTTTACCCATTGAAAAAAATTGTGACCCTTTTTTTCCACAGGGATAGCTCAAACTCGGCTGAACTTTGACACTTCAATCGTGGCATGTAAATAGTCCTTAATGAGAAGTACGTGCTTTATTAAGTTTGCAAAGAGATTTTTTTTTTTTTTGGTTTAAGAGTTGTGAGTGCTGGAGGGGATCAGGATTGCAGGGAGCTCTGTGTGTGTGTGGTGGGGGGAACCTCCAGGAGTGTCACTTGGCAGTGATGCCTGTCAGAGATAGAGCTGAACTAATGACACTGAAGGAATAATTCACCTGACAGATGTCCCGTCTGCTCTGTGCCTGTAGAGTGTCTGGAAGCAGGTAACAGTGTGGAGGGAGATGGTGGTGTCAGTGTTGCTGTGGGTGAGCTGCACTCCCCTGCAGGGGCACAGTTCCTGGCACTAATGCCGTGCTTGGTTTCATCAGGAGCAGCAAGTCCCTGTCTCCTGACTGGCTGAGTGCACAGGCACTGCTCTGTTACTGGTGACATGCACATGTAAACTGTTGTTTCCATTCTCACTTGCCTTAAAATTTCAGTTTCTCCATCCCTCCATGCCAATAAAATAACCATCTGCAGAACTTTTTTTCACCTCTTCAGTTTCATTTTGAGCACTGGGTGTATCCACAGAGTTTTTTTCAGGCATTTATTTCTCTCTGATCAATGGACACCAGCAATAACTGTGCAATGTTGCTCCATTTACTTAGGGAAAACTCACACTGAAGATGAAAATCACCCCTGTGCAGTGGGCTGGCTGAAGGTATGCATCACTTAATCCCCACTCCACCCGGATTCTGAAGGGTTTAGGTGGGATGACTGGTGCTGGTGCTCTGCAGAGGGGTAAATTTCTCCTGGAGTCAGTGATGCCCAACCAGAGGCTGGCAGGGTTTGGCTTGTGCTGCCACTGAGGGTGCAGGCCCTGAGGTTTTTTTCCAGGGTTGGTCTCACAGTAAGGACTTTTCCCCCCATCCCCATTATCCACATGGAGATTTTATGCTAAATCCAGGCCATCAGAAAGATTTGCATCAGCTGTCACTGTGACGATGTGTGTGCTAATTAAACTGGCAGAGGTGCTTATGACACTTGCAAGATTTTACAGCACTTGTGACCTTGATTTTGGGAGTCTCCCTCCCCTCCCTGGCCTAGAGGAATATTTACTGCCCCAGAGAAGCTGTGGCTGCTCCCTGGATCCCGGGAAGTGTCCAAGGCCAGGTTGGACGGGGCCCCGTCCAACCTGGCCTTGGACACTTCCAGGATCCAGGGAGCAGCCACAGCTTCTCTGGCCAACCTGTGGTGATTGCTCCATCCCTGCCTGTCCAGGCTGTGACTCCTGAGAGGTTCAAGTGTGTGTGGTAACAGCACACAAAAATAATTACTTCAGGCTGTTTCTTCCTTGTGCCAATTATCTGGCAAAAAAAACCAAACCAAACCAATGAACTCGTTTTGTTCGCGTGAAAAACGCAGGGCACGTGAAAATACACCGTGGGCTAAACTTTTTTAATTTATGGATTATCTTAGGAAAGGGTTTTCTGCCAGTATATTTAAAATATATTCAGCCTTTCAGCTGAAAGGGGTTTGTTAACCTCTAACCATTTCAGCCCGCCCTCTTAGCAGCCCATCACTGGTTTGGTCATGCCAAGGGTTTAAAGAGGGCTCAGAGAAGCACCTTTAAAAAAAACCAAAAAGAGTTTTCTGCCAGTATATTTAAAATATATTCAGCCTTTCAGCTGAAAGGGGTTTGTTAACCTCTAACCATTTCAGCCGCCCTCTAAGCAGCCCATCACTGGTTTGGTCATGCGAAGGGTTTAAAGAGGGCTCAGAGAGGCACCTTTAAAAAAAACCCAAAAGACACATAAATCCAAACACTTAAAAAACGGCCTAGAAGAAGGGCGACTGTCCTGTTGGTGATCAGAGCAAAGCGATAAATGCTGGCCCATCAGCTCACCGCCCATGCTCTCAGTGTGGTGTCCAACAGGGCGAGCACCGCCAGCCCCCCCTCCCCTGCGCTCCTGCTTCCAGCAGCCTCCCCCCCGGTCCCCGTAGGAGCCAGGTTCTGTAGGCAGAGAGCCCAGCCGAGGCGGCCCGGCTGGCGGAAAGAATGAAGTGTGAGAGGCGGTGGAGGGGTGAGCCCCGTGCGGTACTAACTTGGCCCCGTTTGGCCCCGCAGAGCCAGCGCGGGCGGCGCGGCCCCCCGGCCCCGGACGGCTCTCCCGCCGAGCGCCGCGGCCTCGGCCCCCCGGACGAGAACTACCACAGCGACAGGGCTCGCAAGAGCAGGAACCGCCTGTCTTCCAGCTCCCAGCACAGCCGAGACCACTACCCCCTCGTGGAGGAAGAGTTCTCCGACTCGTACCAGGACTCCTACAAACCCCACCGGACCCGGGGGTCCCCCGGCGGGTACAGCCACGACTCCCGGCACCGGCTGTGAGCCGCCACCAGGATTGCTCCCGGGAGAACCTCCCATCCCCGTAGCTTAGGAACGAGATCCGAGTCATCTCCGTGCGGCGGGTGTGACACCCGACACTGCGGGTGTGCGCTCTGCTCTCATTGATGTTAATTCGGGGCGACGAAACCCCACCCGGCCCTTCCGTTTCTGCCCGTTCATGGGGGTTGTTTTGGGGCTTGGTTTTGGTTTTGGTACATTTGATGCATTTATAGCCGTATTTTTTTCTTGTCCTTAGGTATTAGACACGTCCGTTTGTAATTTCGGGTACCTATCGAGGCACTTATAAAACGATTTCCTCTGCTGGAAATTCCAAATGACCAGTTCCAGTTGGAACCAATTTATAAACCAATTCCTGTTGGAATTTGGGTGAATTGACTGGAAAGTCGACGTGAGCATGTTGCAAACAGTTGGGAAAAAAACCAACCAAACAAACAAACACAAACATACAAAGAAAAATCTGACAATTAAAAAAATCACTGGAAGCCACAAAGTCAGCTCCGGTGTTTGTTTGCTGGAATTTCCGCTTCCAGTTAGAATAAAAGGGTTTCTATTCTGCTGATTTACTTCCAGAATGGCTTTTTTCACACAAACCAAATGTAAACTCTCTAGAGTGCCAAATATCCCAAATTATTGCAGCAGTGACAAAACACTTTCCAGTTTGACGTTATTTTTAGACCTGGCACGAATGTTGCAGCCAAATTCTTGATTTTAGCCAGTCCTGATGGTTTTGTCAGGACCAGCAGGGAGGAACTGAGACAGGAGAAGCGAAATAGGAACAGGAAAAGGAACAAACTCCGTAGTTTGTGTGGTTGGAAGTTGGGAATAGCTTTTTTATCCTCTCGTTTACCTGAGTACAGCTCCGAGTCCCCAGATGGGACAGGAGTGTAGAGACATCAGATTTTTCTCCCGTTTTGCTCCTGCCTTTTAAGTGGGAAACACTCCCCTCCCCTTGCCCGGTGTGTGGAGTACCTGCATTCCAGTACACCCATGTTCCATCTTCCCAAATCCGCCTCTGAATGTCTGAAATTCCAGCGTCGCACAAGAACTCTCCGAAGATCAGGTTCCATTTCCCTCATGAAATCCAGGGGAAGGGAGTGGGGTTAACCAGTCACCACGGACTGGCCAGAACTGCAATAAAAAGGGAATACCAGACAGAAATCTGCTCCCAGGGAGGCCCTAGGGCTGACTCAAAGCCTTGGATCCCATGAGAAATCCTTGGAGATATCACTGCCTTACTTCCTGCCAGTCATTTATTCCACCTCCTGAGTGCTGAGTTCCTTTGAACAGGTGAATTTCTGGGATTGGACCTTGTGTCTTACACGAGCAGTGAAGCCTTAGATCCAATGGGATTGAAAACTGACCCCACCTGACCATTTTGTACAACCAGAGCCTCCCGAAATTCCCCACCTCGTGCGTGCCCTAAAATTGGCACAGTTGTGCTGAACTTGCATTTTTCATGCAGGTTCTTGGCAAAACTGCTCATTTTTTCAAGAGTGACCATCCTTAACTTTCCTATTTGCTTGTTTTCCTCCCAGAGCCTGCTGAAGTCAGGCTTTGACAGCATGTAGCACTAAAGGAATTTCTGGAATATTATGGTTTCTTCTTTCTGGACCAGCTGGCAAAGCCCACTGGCGTTTCCAGCGTCCTGGAGCCTCGTTATCTTCTCGAGGTTAACGAGAGCAGTCATTAATCTCCCTTGGGGGACACCCCACACTGACACGTCTCCAGCAGCACTGAAAGGTGGCAGATGATGATTAATTATTTGTAATAACTCCACTGTCCAACAGGCAGCTCCAGCCCCGCTGGGTGATCCCAGTGGACCCGTTCCCAGGATAAAAGTGGGAATGCCTGCATCCACTGGAGTCACAGAGTGGGGATGGACCTGCCAGCCCTGGTGCTGCCCGATTTCCTCCGCCTGAAGATGCCCAAGGAGCTGAGGAAACACGGCAGGATCCGGCCTGGGAGCAGCAGCTGCAGCTGCCTCCTCCAGCATTCCCTGCTCCAGGAAGTGCCCAGCCCTTTCCCCATGTACAGCACAGCACCTGCATGAGAAAGGAGGCCTGAGGAGAACATTGCTCTCAGCCTTGCCCAGTGCCCTGTTAGTGCATGGCAGTCCTGGTGGCAGGGGAGCCCTAGAACCCTCCCAGCAGCTGCTTCTCCTCCTCCTGCAGTAGCATTAGGGATCATTAGGGATCATTAGGGATCAGCTCATTAACTGCTTGCAGATATTTGCAGATTTGCAGGTCGCTGCCAAGCACCCACATAGATTTTTTAGAGCCTTTTGGAGCCTTGTTTTTAAGTCTTCCACGTCAGGCCAGGCAAGGGAAGGATCCACACCTGCACAAACCCAGCCCCTGAAGCATCTCAAGTGCCAAAACTGCTTGGGTTGGATAGAAAGAAGCTTGTGAGGGAAGTCTTGGATTGTCCTGAGGTCCTTTATTACCTGGGCTTAAATTGGATTTAGTCCCGTGTGTAATTAATTTCTCCCACTGCCCATTCCATTTTAACACAGGGCACCAGTCAGGAGTGATCCAGGTTTCCTTCCTTGCGGGGGATGTTTATCCTTTGAAGATAGATACATCTGTAAGTACAAACGTGCCAGCTGTGCTGTAGATTCTTCATTTATCCAAAAGAGTCTGTTTTAAACACACTGTAATGAGTGAAAGCAGTGCTGGGGATCGGAATTTCTGTCAGAATTCCAGCACTGCTGTATTGGGAGTGATTTCAAACTGGGAAGTTCATGTCTTCCTGACTTTATTCAGACCCATTTTCCAGGCCCTGCATCATTTCTCCTTGTCGTTACAGCCCTGTTGAAGATCAGAGCTCTGTCCCCAGCTCTGGCTCAGGGCCAGGAGGAATTTTTTTACAGTTTTGTTGTTATCTGAGCTCCTCACTGGGACACTCTGGGATTGATGATTTAGCCAATGAAGGTGAGAAAAACAATCTCTGCAGACAAAATTCGGTGCGTTCCTACGTTTGTGAATCAATTAATGAAGGATTTTAAAGCTCTTAAACCCACTTTAGAGATTGTTAATTGTGAAATTTTAACTCCAGACCCTTTCTCTGGGGCAAGTTGTATTAGACATGTTCAGGTTCTTTTACTGGTGCCAAACATTTATCCCGTGGGATTTACCCAGCTGATGATATTTGTAACTTTGTGTTCAGTTTGATGCCAAATCCTCAGAAATCAGTTTGGTCTCAGCTCCGCAGAATTCCCTGAAACATCCCAGGATCTCCTGCCTTTCCTGACTTTACCATTCCAGAATAATTTTGCTAATCCTGTTGCTCCATAACCCACTGATTTGGGTAAGTCAGGGTTTCTGATACCCATTTTTAATTCAATAATGGATTAAATGTGTCCTCTTTCTTTGCCAAGTTCAGTCCTTCTGAAGCTTGTCCTTGATTCCCGATGGTTTTTTAAGGCAAAATAATTGGAGACCACAAATGAAAAAAATCAGAGTTTGTTTTATATGGGAAAATAAAGGTGTGTCTTTAAAAATAAAGGGAAACTTTAATAATGTTGTGAAATATATGTAAGGAATTAACTTGGAGGAAGAGCAAAAAGTGTTCCTTAGGGTTGAAATGTTAGGATTGAAATTTAAGATTTCTTTCATTATGTGTGGAATCCACTCAAGGATTGGAGTACTGTCAGTAAATCCATACAAGGAATTTGGGGAGAAGGTGGGAATTCTTTAAAATGTTCCTGAGTGTGTCATTCCTTTATTCCTTTGGAACTGGGAGTAGCCTTGGCTTGGTCTCAGGGATGGTTTTTAGACCTGCCTTCTCCCCCCAGATTCCCACCTGGAGCAGATCCCACTCCTGTCTTCTCCAGGAGCAAGGTCTGACCAGAAATGTCCCCTCCTGACCATCACCTGCCTTACCAGTGTTCCCTGAAAACCAAAATGTTCTTAAATTTACCCCCCTTGTCCCCTCCGGAGGGAATTCCCGGAGTGAGGAGATCTCATGGGCAGGACGAAATAATCTGTTCTACCAACGGTGTAAAACCAGAGCAAGGAAAAAAAGCACATCTGTAATAGCACAAATTTCCCAGAATCCCACTCCTGCCTTTGGCATCGTGTTTTTGGGGAGCAGGGGGCAGTTTTTGACCCAGCAGCAGTGGATTTATGGCATTTTTGATCCCTTTCCTCGCTGCCTGATCCTTCAGCAGCTGGTTTTGGCATTTTGCACACGGGATTGATTTTTCAATAACCTGTATTCCTTCCATGTCAGTGAATTAAATGACAGAAGCTTTTAAAATCCAAGAGCCCAGTGCATCCATTTCTGCTGGAATCACATAAATTCCTTCAGTTTTGGCCAGTGTGTAGATTTTGGGGTGTGACTGATGAATATCCCACGGCACACCAGGGGCTACCGAGGTCAGGAATGAGAGACTCCCAGCAAAGATATTTTTGAGGGCTCCAGAGCTCTGAGGTGGGGGAGAGAAGAGTCACAGCACCCAAAAATTCCACTGATAATATTCCTGAGAATTTCAAACCTAAAGGGAAGTGAGGTGTGTGGGGCCAAGGGCTGGGACACACCTGAGTCTCTTCTCGTGCAGAGAGGGAGAGTCAGCCAGGCCCTAAATCACCCCAAATGCAAATCCTGGGTAAGTGGAGGGGGAAGAAGGATGGGAACAGTCATTCCAACTGCAAACTCTGCACCTTGGGCTTCTCAGACCCCGGGAAATCTCTGTTTCTCAGCCAAACTGGGTCCCAGGGGGAGCTGGGCAGCGCTGCCTGCAGCCTCCCTGGGAGCCAGGCCAGAGTCTGGTGAAGACACTGCTGCCTTTGCTGGGAAAACACTTCCCCAAGCTGGTGTTTTCTGCTGGTTTGCCCTTTGTTTCCCCCCTAGATCCTGTGTGTGTAGCACCCGACAAGGCATGTGGGTCCAATATACTATGCAATGTGTACAGTGGTGCATGCTCTGCTCTCCCTCTGCTTTTAGTGGCTTTCAAAGAAAAACTCAAAAAAAAAAAAAAAGGAAAAAAATTATAAATAAAATAAAACTAAAAGTGGTGTTATTTTTGTGACCAGGATCATGCAGACTTGCATGCCCATAGTATCCTCATTTCTATGGATTCGTTTTCTGGAATTTAGATGTACAAAAGATGAACTGCATTACAATTAACTTTTCTACAATAAATGAGCCAAAAGTACAAACTGCTGGAAAGTCTCTCCAGTCTCTTTGTGTCCTGCACTGAGGTGGGAGTGACGCTGGGAAGAGCCACGAGGAGCCCTGGGGTATTTCCGTTGTTTGCCAGTAGCTTTGGGCAGGGCTGAGTTTTTGGTGGGATTTGATGATGCCCCAAAGAAGGAGCTGTGTCTGCTCCGAGAAATAAATGATGTTTATTTTTATACCCTCAAAGAGCTGCGGCTCAGGAGCACAAAACCCAGGTAATTCCTCGCTGCTCCAGCAGGGAGTGGAATCCCTGCTCCCAGCTGCTCCGGGGAAGGATGCCTGGGAATGCTCTGGGCTTGGAGCTGGGCCTCGGTGTGACCTCACGGTAGGACTGGTTCCCAGAGAGAAGCAGGAGTGACAGCAGGATGGGAGGCGTCAAGGATTGGACCATTCAAAGAGATTTATCACAGAATGGTTAAGATTGGAAAAGGCCTCCGAGTCCCCTCTGTGCCCGATGCCCACCTTGTCACCAGCCCAGAGCACCGAGTGCCACGGCCGGGCGTTTAAGGTGTCCTGGGAAACTGGAAGCACTGGGAGATGCTGCCTCTTCCAAAGAGTGACTGACAGGAACCAGCAACTTCAGAGCTGCTGTGACCACCCAAAAACCCCCCTTGGAACGGACATGGACCAGGTAAGCTGCTTTTACATTGGCATTTACACACCTGCTGCTTTCAGAATTGTGTTTGACTGGGTTTTCTGTGTGGTCACAGTCAGATCTCAGCGTGTGGGTTTTCATCTGAGCCATTCATAAAAAGCAGAACATCCTCCAAATAAACATAACCGAGCCAAAAATGCCCTCTCTGTGCCATTTCATGCGGTCCTGGAGGTTAAAATTCCATGAGCCATTTGGTTTGTCTGCGTTGTGGGGAAGGGGCTGGGGGGGCTCAGCCAGGAGAAAAGGAGGCTCAGGGGGGACCTTCTGGCTCTGCAATCCCTGACAGGAGGGGGGAGCCGGGGGGGGTCGGGCTCTGCTCCCAGGGAACAGGGACAGGAGGAGAGGGAACGGCCTCCAGCTGTGCCAGGGGAGGGGCAGGTGGGACATCAGCAGGAATTTCTCCTGGAAAGGGTGGTCAGGCACTGGCAGGGGCTGCCCAGGGAGGTTTGGAGTGCCCAGCCCTGGAGGGATTTCCAAGGCCTGTGGATGTGGCACTTGGGGACATGGTCAGTGGTGGCCTGGACAGTGCTAGGGCATGGTTGGACTCGATCTTGGAGGGCTTTTCCAAACCCAAAACATTCCATGATTTGGTTTTTTCCCCTGGACAGAAGTGTTTCCCCTTCGGTGGGCACACAAAGCTCTTCCCCAGCACAGAAAGGCTCCCTGACCCACTGTTGGTGTTAGAGATGCTGGAAACAAAACAGACATGACCTGGAAAAGCCTTCCAGATTTCCAGGAGGGAATTCTGAGGCTGTCTTGGAGTGCCTTCCTAGAAAGCTTCCAGCAGCAGTGTGGTGCAGGTCAAACCAGGCTGCCACACAAAAAAACCCAACACAAACTCCAGGGGGGGAAGTCTCAGCCATTTGCTATTTAAATAATCAGAGTAATTGCTTTAATTGAGTTTTGGTGCCTCTCACACTGCACAGCCACCCAACCCTGCCACAAGCCCAAGGCTTCCAGGAGTGCTGAGAACAGAAGGGAACCTCGAGCATCTGAAATTCCAAGCTGAGGAACGGCAGCAAGGGGGATAATTGCAGCCTAATGAATAATTAATTCCATTGCAGGCTGGATGCTGAACTTGTGGAACGGGTATCATCACACTGGAGGAGCTGCTCCGCTTCCCTGCGGGTCACACACGGTCCCAGCTCTGAGATGGGGATGGGTTGGGACAGTTTATTATCGGGATATTTATTTCCTTCAACTGTTTAGGGCTGAAAATTCCCCTCCAGAGCAGCAGGAAACACAAATCCCTGTGGGCACGGGCAGAAACTCGATGACTCTGCCCTTGCTGCTTTGGTTATGGGCCAATATTGCAGCAGGGAAATAACAGCAGGGAGCTGCTGTGGGAATAAAAGCTGCTAGAAGGGAATAGGGAAAAACCTCTGGAATAGCAAAGGAAAGTATCGTGCCCCATCCCTGGAATGTCCAAGGCCAGGCTGGACAGGGCTTGGAGCAACCTGGGCTAGTGGAAGGTGTCCCTGCCTGTGGGGGGACAGGGGGTGGAACAAATCCCAGTGCTGAGATTCCCATCCACTCCCAGTGTCTTGGAAAGACTAAGCCTGATTGAGCCATGTAAAATAAAGGATTTGCCCCATTCAGGTGGCGCTGGGCGCTGGCCACACTGGGAGCTTTGCAGGTGAGGAAAGGGGAACACAGCAGTGTTTTCCTGTAAAATAAAGCCGTGTTTTGCTCAGGGAAAGGACAAATGAGGGCAAAGATCTTATGTCTCATCTCTAGGCTGCTACAGAGAGCCCTGCACAACCTATGTATTACCAGGGTTTTTCCAAACCCTGAGGAATTCAACTCGGTGGTGGGTTGGGACAGAGAAATTTATCTTGGAGGTGAGAAGGCTACAGGGGGACCTCGGAGCCCCTTCCAGTACATAAAGTGCCTTTCTGCAAACTCACTCGGCTACTGGTGAGCAGCTTCCACCATGTTATCCCCAAGTTCTCCTCAGAGCACCGTGTTCCAGTAGGGATTATGCAGGCAAAGTGCACGCATTTTCTCCATAAACTGGAGCCAGGCTGGGAGAGCTGGGGGGGTCACCTGGAGAAGAGAAGGATCCAGGGAGACCTGAGAGCCCCTTGCAGGGCCCTAAAGGGGCTCCAGGAGAGCTGGAGAGGGACTGGGGATGGAGGGACGGGACACAGAGAATGGGTTTAAGCCCATCAAGAGGGCTTAAGGAGGAGGAAGGCTTGAAGGAGGGCTGATTTCGTGGAATACTGAGGAGAGATCCGTGGCTGTGCGGGCGGCCAGGCCCTGGCACAGGCTGCCCAGGGAGGCTTTGTGAAGGTGCCCGCGGCACGGGGGTGGCCGGGATGACCCGCACCGTCCCTGGCCACAAACACACCCCCGATTTCGCGTGTGAGGGGAGCGGGGCCGGCCCCGGCGGCGCGGGGGCGCCCGAGGCGGTGCCGTGTAATGGCGGCCGCGGTGCCGCCCCCGCGCGTCAGCGCGACGCGCCCGCCCGGCCCGGCCCGGCCGTGAGGGGCCGAGACAGCCCAGCCCGGCCCAGCCCGGCCGAGCCGTGAGGGGCCGAGACAGCCCGACCGCCCAGCCCGGCCCGGCCGAGCCGTGAGGGGCCGCGACAGCCCGGCCCCACAGCCCGGCCCCACAGCCCGGCCCGCCCGCTCCACACTGCACACCCGGCCCGCCAGCCCGGCCCGCCCGACTACCCGCCCGCTCCCGGAGCGCACCCGGCCCGCCAGCCCGGCCCGCTGCCCTGCCCTGCACTGCCCGCCCGCTCCACACTGCACAGCCGGCCCGCACCCCCGCTCCCGGAGCGCACCCGGCCCGCCGCCCTCCCCGCCCGCAGCCCGGCCCCCGGCGCGGCCCCGGCGATGTCCCCGCGGCAGCGGCCCCGGCGCGGCCCCAGCCGGCTGTGGGGGCGCCGCGCCGGGCCCTGAGCGCCCGCCGCCCCGCACTGCCGCGGCCGGAGAGGCCGGAGCGCCCCGGCCGACCATGGGGATCCTCTTCACCAGGATATGGAGGCTCTTCAACCACCAGGGTGAGCACGGCGTGCCGGGGGGTGGCTGAGGGTGGCCGGGGAGGTCCCGGCGGAGCCGGACCCGCTGCGGGTTCCGGGAAATGCGGGTTTAACTCTTTTTTTTTTTTTTTTGCCCTGCTCTCCGTCCCCGCAGTGCTCCTTCCTGACAGCCGCTGTTACATTATTAATGTGTGCCGAAGGAACGCGGCCGGCTTGCGTCGTGGCGAGTAGTTTCGGTTTATAGGCAGAGTGAGGGTTTAAGTGGTAAACCTCGATATCTGGCTCGTTTGTGGAGTAAATGCTATTTATAGCTTTAGCTGTGGCTGCCCCTGGATCCCTGGAAGTGTCCCAGGCCAGGCTGGACGGGGCTGGGAGCAGCCTGGGACAGTGGAAGGTGTCCCTGCCCAGGGCAGGGATGATCCATAACTTCCCAAACCATCCCGTGAGTCGGTGCTTTGTAACACCTGTGTCCTTGGAGTAAGGTGCTCACCAGAGTTGTCACTTTAACTACAAAACACTTCTTTCCACCTTTATGAAGTCCTCGAAATTCGAATTTTGGGGAGTTTCGGTGCGCTCGCACCTGCGGGTTCAGTGTCCCATTGCGTCCCCGCTAACACTTAGTGCGAACGCAACAAGATGTTTTCGTAGCACCCAGACCTTCTCATCCAGCTGATTCCCAAAGGTTTCCTGTGCTGGCAGCATCACACCCCAAACAAAAGTTCCTAAGAGTTACATGGGGTCAGGTAAGCAGAGGCTTTTACAGTATTGTACAGTTATGCAGAGTTACTAAAAGTGGAGTTTGCATCGGATGGCACACGAGACAGCTCTGCAAAACCACTCAATATTGGGAAAATCAAACTCAAGAAAACCCCACTTACCTGAGCCCTGTCCCCTCCCTCTCCTCTGGGACAAATCGGTGTGAGTGTACATTGATCTCAGTGTTTTTAATGGCTTTTGGTTGCCCTGGAGGGCCAGTGGGTGTGGGGGAACACAGCCCCTTCTCACGGGGCTTTTACTTGCCTAGTCCTGGCTGTTTGTGCAGTAAAAGTTGTGTAACAGGGCTCGGAGCTGGCTGTGCTCACCCGTCCTGGAAATCCTCAATCTGGACGTGCTCAACCCCAGCTGTGGAGTTCCCAGGCGGTTGGGTGATGAGAAACAATAACTGATCTGGGCACGGCGCTCCACAGTGTCGGGGGAGGTTTGCTGAGCGCCCCTTGGCTCACCCAAAACTCAGCTGGGTGAGTGTGCCCTGTCAAATGCCCGTGGGCAGATCTGTCCCCCCGGGTTCCAGAGCTGCTGAAAGGGAAGGGGGGCACGGGGGGATCCCCCTCCCCACTCACAGGTGCAGCTCAGCCTGGTTGTGGGTTTTACTTGCAAAAACTGCTCTTTGAACTTGCAAAGAGAAGGGAAAGTGAAGGTTGACCACGAGGAGTTGCTGTGGGAGCTTGGGGGAGGATTCCAGTGGGAATTCCAGTTGCTTTGGCAGTTTAGAGAAGGGAACATCCACGTGCAATCTCAGAAGTTGTTCCTGCAGAGGTGGGGTTGTTGCCAGCCCCTTCCCTGCTCAGAGCAGCACTCCCCACCCAGCCTGAGCAGCTGGAGCCGGGCAGTGTTTGCTCGGGAAGCCGGTGGAAAACGTGGCACCAGCGTTTCAGGCACAGCTGATGTCACGGTAATGAACACAGCGACTTACTCGTGCTGTTGTCGTTTCAGAGCACAAGGTGATCATTGTGGGCCTGGACAATGCAGGGAAAACCACCATTCTGTACCAATTGTGAGTATGACCCTGTGTGTGGGGGGATTTTGGGGTGTTGGAGGTGTGTGCTGTGCACGTTGCTGCTCTCCTGGGTGGTTTTTGAGGCTGGAAGGGGCTCTGCTGTGCCCGGGGTGTGAGTGAGGTTCTGTTCAGGTGTGTCACCACACACTCCCCTGCAGTGTCACCACACACGCCGCTGGCTCTTTGCCAGCTCCGTAAAATAGGATTGGGGTGAGTGTTGGCCACGGGACAGTGTTGCAAAACCGATCCATGGCACTGATTTAAATCCCAGACAAATTGCTCTGAGCGCCTCTCCCTGCCGTGACTCCTGTGCTGGGATGGCCTTGGTGCCCTCCATGGCTCTGGAAGAAGTGGGAGGGCTGATCCCAGGATGGAGCCAGGACAGCATCTCCTGCTGTCCTGCCCCTTCTGCCTTCAGCAGTGGCTTTGGCTGTGCTTGCCCTGCCCCTGCTGTTCGTGAGGCTCCTTTGAGCTCCCTATCTCGGGCCCTGAGCTGCAGGCTGATAAGAGGGTGCACATTTGTGCACAGAAGCTCCTGGGTGGCACAGGCAGCTCAAGGTCTGTGTTGGGAACAGATTGGCCCTTTCCCACGTGAAGTGTTCCCGAGGCAGCACCAGGAATAATTCCTGGTGGGAGCTGTGGCCCTGCTGCTCCGATCCTGCGCTGAAAATGTGCTTTCTGGGAACGTTTGGGGTTTGTCACATTCTGCCCTGCTTCTGCCTTTCCAAAACGTGGCACTGGTGCAGCATCTCCAGCTGCTCCTGCCCTCCCACTGCAGGCAGAGGGAGAGGATGGGGCTGGGATTCATCCAGTGGGGGAGATGGTTTAAAACCCGCAAATAGAGTGAAGGGTATTTTTTAATGCAGCTCAGGGCTGTCCTGGTGCATTTACTGCTGTGACTTTCCACTTCCTCACAGATGTCTCTCAGTTCTTCCCCTTATTTCTGCAGTTTCAGTGTTTTATTTTCCCTTTCAGACAGTGGATCTGTGTGAACTGTTCCTTTGTACCCAGTTTAGCTCCACAGGACTTTCCCAGCTCTCTTCTGGTGTCCCCCTTCCCTGTTTGCTCTGTTCCTCCTGTCTATTCCAGCACCTTGCAAGTCTCAGATTGCTGTCAGTGTAACCAAAACCTCTGATGAAACTTTAAAAACTTCATATATAATGAAAAAATACATCAAGAGTATCAGAGGAAACAAATAATTAAATTCCCTGAAGATTGGTTTGCTTTGAAACTGCTGTTAATTTTTTTTGCCTGTTAAGGTGGAGTTTAAATAGTTTAAAGCTCAGGAGTATCCAGAGCACAGTTTTGGTTATTTGGTGTGACACTGGTGGTCTCAGTGACAAAGTTACACTCAGAATCTCCAAACAATATCTTTGGAATATTTAATGATTGGGTGTCTCCCAAAAGTTGTGTGCTGGACTGTGCTGGACTGTGCTGGAGGGGGGAGTTTGGACATAAAGCAGCTGAGTTGTGGATAAAACCTGTTTGCAGTGGCCTGCCCTGGCAGGGGAGCGGGAGGCAGCGGATGTGGTGTGTCTGTGGGGCTGGATGAGGAGCTCTTGTTCTCCTGAAACCTTGGGAATCTCGTGGCTTAACCACATTGTTGGAGCAAAACAACTGCTCTGCCCCACAAGTGCCAAGATGGGCCTGGAGGAGGAAACGCTGCGAGCTCCAAACGGCTTCGGAGGGGGAATTCCCCCAGCCCTGTGGTGAGCTGTGATGAATTACAGCACAGTCCTGTGCAGGAGTGTGCTCCCAGCTCTGTGATGGGATTATTCCACGGCTCAGGGAGTTGTTTTATTGCTGGGTTTGTTTATCTTTATGCACCTCCCCCGTCACCCCTGGTCTGGGAGGTTTGCTGTAACTCCCCTCTGGGCTGGGAACCCCAGCCAGGGTGGGTTTTGTGCTGGTGGTGACTGGCAGTGTCCCTGTGCCCCTGCAGCTCCATGAACGAGGTGGTCCACACGTCCCCCACCATCGGCAGCAACGTGGAGGAGATCGTGGTGAACAACACGCGCTTCCTCATGTGGGACATCGGGGGGCAGGAGTCCCTGCGCTCCTCCTGGAACACCTACTACACCAACACCGAGGTGGGGCCTCCGGGGCAGGCTCTGCTGCAGCTGCCCCGGGAAAACCCTGCCTGGGGCTCTGGGACTGGGGATCTGCACCGGGAAAACCCTGCCTGGGGCTCTGGGGCTGGGATCTGAACCGGGAAAACCCTGCCTGGGGTGTATGGGATTGGGATCTGCCCCGGGAAAACCCTGCCTGGGGTGTCTGGGATTGGGATCTGCACCGGGAAAACCCTGCCTGGGGCGTCTGGGATTGGGATCTGCACCGGGAAAACCCTGCCTGGGGCTCTGGGATTGGGATCTGCACTGGGAAAACCCTGCCTGGGGCGTCTGGGATTGGGATCTGAACCGGGAAAACCCTGCCTGGGGTGTCTGGGATTGGGATCTGCACCAGGAAAACCCTGCCTGGGGCTCTGGGATTGGGATCTGCCCCGGGAAAACCCTGCCTGGGGCTCTGGGGCTGGGATCTGCCCCGGGAAAACCCTGCCTGGGGTGTATGGGATGGGGATCTGCACCGGGAAAACCCTGCCTGGGGTGTCTGGGATTGGGATCTGCCCCGGGAAAACCCTGCCTGGGGCATCTGGGGCTGGGCTCTGCAGCTCAGCTGGGCTGGGGGTGCCACAGCCCCTCATTGTCCATCACCGCTTCCTCCAAAACCTCAGCACCCCTCAGGAAAATAAGGAGGAGACTCCAAAAGTTTTCCCCTGAGGCTTTGGGATCCCAGCATCGATTTAGTTCATCCCCCCCTGCCAGCAAAGAGTTTTCAGAACTCTACAGCTGTGAAGCTGCACCACACATAAATACATATATATAAATTTTATCAAGCACATAACTCGATAAAAATGCTGCTTGAAGTCAAGGTTTCCTGTGTGCTCTCAAATACGGTTCCAATACAGTTATGTTCTATAAATTATATTTATATGTGGTTCAATACAGTTCTTACAATAATTGGCTTTGTTCTGCTGTGCTTCCCTGAGAGATGCTGTGACCTCTCAGAGGTCCTTTGCAGCCTGAAGGGTTCTGTGACATTTTATCTGCGTGTAGGCTCTTGGAGTTTGGAGCCAAAGGGCTTTTTAAATCCCTGTTTGCCTGCTGGTGTTAGAACTAGAGGAAGGAAGCTGGTGCAGTTGATGTTTTTAAGGCTGCAGCAGGTGATCTGAGGGGTCTCTGCGGGGCCTCAGTTGTGCCAAGCAAGGAACAACCCCAGCCCTGGGATTGCAGGGAATTTACTCACTTTCAATATGAATTTTCCCCCTGAAAAATGGAGAACAGAAAGTCCCAAGTTGTGTCAGAGCTGCCTTTGTCCCCAAACCACAGCCCAGGCTGGGAACCACCCAGGGGGCTGGGGCAGAGAGTGGGATAGGGGTGAGAAAGCAGCTGGGTAATGGGATGGGAGCAGGGACCTGCTCAGGAACCAGGAAGGTTTGGCCACACAGACAGGGTTTGTTCTCTAATAATTTCACTCTTTGCAGTTTGTGATCGTTGTGGTGGACAGCACAGACAGAGAGAGGATCTCTGTGACTAAGGAAGAGCTGTATAAAATGTTGGCACACGAGGTGAGTAAACCCAGGGCCTTTATTTAATATATTTATTTTAATATTTATTTGGATATTTATCTGTGTGATAAGTGTTAAGGGAAGCAGATTTCCACCCTGAACTGTCTTTTGTGAAATTCCCAGTAAACTGTAAGTTGATCCTAAATTTGTCAGACTCAGGGAAACAGCACTTGGGACCTGTCAGTGGTTCTGTGGTGTTTATACCTCAGTCCATGTTAACCCCTGAATTAGATCCTTTAAAACCCCCTTGTTTCCTGCAGTAAATCAGTCACTATTTGATACCTTCAGGGTTGCCTGATGTGCTGTTTGCAGTGAAATAATGTGTTTTGTGGCAACCAGGTGTAAAGCTGGAGGAACAGGCAGCCCCTGGCCATGCATTGGGCTGTGTTTGGAATTATAAGGGAGAATGTAAATTGCTAAATTGCAAAGTCCCTCTTTAAACCTGAGCTCTGGGTCAGGTCTAAAGCTGAGCCCTCTGGCTCTGAGCTGTAAATCCTGAGCTGATGTCTCAGCCAGGCAGTACCTGTGGCAGGACCTGAATCCAGGCTGGATCAGTGGGTGTGAAATGGTGCTGAGCTTCCAAATTCAAGTGTCAGAGTAAAAAAAGTCTGCATAAACGTGATGGCATTGCATCCCAAAATGTGGCACCCATAGTTAACCTACAGCCACGGTCCATGCACTGCAGGAAGGGCAGAGCCTGCCTATGGATTTCCTTGGAGAAAAAAACCCAGTGCCTTGAATGTCTCATTTTTTGGTATTTAACTTTTTTGCTGTTTAACGTTTGTGGTTAATAAAGTAAATTCCAATCTGCATCTTCTGTTTCCCAATAAAGGGAAGGTGCAGAAGTCGTTAATTGAGATTTGCCGTGAGGAAGGTGCAGAATTCCAGGCTGCAGGAGCCCTTGCTCCGTGCTGGGAGATGATTCCCGAGCCACCCCCGGTGAATGTGGCCATTGTTGTCCAGCAGGATGTTTCCAGGCTGTTCCCCTTCCCTCTCCAGACGCTGTTTGGAGAGAACAGCAATAGCTACAGGCCCAAAGGAAACTCAAATATTTGTTTAAAATGGCTTTTCTTTGCTCCTTGAAGCCTTTCCTCTCTGCCCAGCGGTTCCATTGAGCTCCTGTTAAGGCAAAATTGAGTTTCCCAGGTCTGTTCCAAGTATTTTTCTGGACCAGTTGGCAGTTTGGGAATTAATTTTTTGCCTGTAAACATCAGTGTGCCCGACAGGCAGTTAATGCCTGAGCTGGCTTGGCTTCCTGGGAACACCTTTCTGCTTTCCAGGGGAGACATTTTCCATAATAACCCCTGCACTGGTGTAATTCCAGGCAGTTGGAGGCTTGTCCAGGAGTCCCTCTTCCCAGATTTCTTGCTGCCCAGGTAATCAGGTGCACTGATCCTCCTGGAGCAGAGCCTTGTGCTGAGTTTTCCACGTCATCCACGGCCAAACCTGGCTGTTTGGGCTGCTGGATCAAAGGCTTTCCTGCCCTTCCATGTCACCCTGCAGCAGTTTTCCTGCAGGATTTTTGGCTGGGGCTCAGGGTTCTCTTTGCTATCACATCATTTGCCTCCGAGGGCTGCTTTGTCATCATTTTCTCTTCTCTCCTCTCTGCCCAGGACTTGAAAAAAGCAGGTCTGCTGATCTTTGCAAACAAGCAGGATGTGAAGGAGTGCATGACAGTGGCTGAAATCTCCCAGTTCCTGAAGCTCACGTCCATCAAGGATCACCAGTGGCACATTCAGGCCTGCTGTGCTCTCACTGGAGAGGGGTAAGAGGGATTCTGTAAGCTGGAGTTATCTGGGGGGGTTATTCCAGTGTTTGCTTTTAACACACATTCCTCCCCTCTCAGCAATAATCCCAGAGGGGTTTGGGATGGAAGGGATCTTAAAGATCATCCAATCCCACCCCCTGCCCTGGGCAGGGACACCTCCCCTTATCCCAGGTTGCTCCAGCCTGGCCTTGGACACTCCCAGGGATGCAGGGGCAGCCACAGCTTCTCTGGGAATTCCATTCCAGGGCCTCCCCACTTAATAATCCTGACACTTCCTTTGGGCCCAGAACACACTGAAACCCAACTTTTCCATCAAATCCACGGCCTCCCCTCACAGAGAGAAAACTTTATATGAACTGGGCTTAGTGAGAGCCCAGGGGGAATGGCCTGAAATCTGTCCTGGTTTATCCAGAGTAATCCCAGTCAGATGTGAAGTGTCTCACTCCTGGACTGCGGAACAGGCTCTGGGAGACGCCACACTCGGGTGGATGGTTCCTGGAAATGAGTCACGGGAAGCATTTCAGCTGCTGCCATGGAATTACCTTTGGAGTCCTCCTCAGAAGTTCCTTAACCATTGTCCCTTCTGTTCACAGACTGTGCCAAGGACTGGAATGGATGATGTCAAGGCTTAAGATCAGATGATTTTTGGTGCCCCCTTGCACAGACATTGCTCCAGGGAGCGGTTCCCGGCAGAGGCGGTGGGGTGGATGGATTTACCCTGAACTGACTGCAACTGTATTTTCTACAAAGCTGCCCCTCCCAGTGGACAGGAAGGACCATCCCCAGAGGGAACTGCAGCCCTGGCTCCAGTGGGGTTTGGTTTGCTGGGAGGATCCCTTTTCAGAGCTGTGCCCAACCTTGAGAAGCTGCAGCCCCTCGGGACAGCCCAGCCTCGGGCGTGGGGAAGATGAAGCAAGAGGAAAGGAGCTTTTAATTTAGAGTTTTATTATCCTGTTGTAGCCCTCTCTAGTGGAAGATGTTGGCTTCATTATTCCAGTAAATCAGCAACAAATCACTGGCTTAGGTATCAGCTCCTCCAGTATTTTGAAGGTTACCGATGTTACAAACGCAACCCTGTTTTCCTGTCTGTGAACTGTACATATTTGTGTATATTTATACCTCATCTCGAGTTCATTGCAGTCCGTTCAGAGCAGTGTGTGCAGCTGGCTCAGTGTGCTGGCAGCAGTTCTGACGTGTGACATGGCCCTGGTCCCGTGTCCCAGGTCCCTCCCTCTGTGCCCACCACTCCTTGGCTCCCACAGCTGGACAGACCCACCCTCCCTTCGGCCCAGGGCTGCTTTTCCACAGGATTTTTGGGGGAGGGCTGGGCTGGGCTGGGCTGGGGCACACGTGGGTTGAGCTCTGAATGGAGGTGTTGGCCAACAGGACAGGTTTGTTTCAAACCAGGTGGGTGTTCCTTTCCCGGTGTTTTGGGGTGGTGCTGCAGGGGCACGTCCTGCCCACTGCTCTCCTTTGCAGTCTGCTTGATTCAGGTCTAAGAGCACCTTTAGCTCTCAAAAAGGGAAAAACATCTTCTTTTTTTTTTTATAAACCAAAGAGGAGGCACAAAAGTACGCTGGACAGGCCCATTGGAGTCGTGTAAGTCACACTCTAATGAAGTGTTTTGCAGAGGAAAAGCTCTCTTTGCTACATAAATGTGCAGATTTATCAATATGCAGTGGAGGGAACTGCATGGGGACAACACATGACACTACTTGGAAAGCTCTAAGTGAGCCACACGAGTTCCAGGTGAAAACAGAACTCCCTGCATGGTCCCCAGAGCACTTTTGGAACACTAGGATGGCCTTTCCTTGCTGTAGCACCTGATGGGCTGCCTGTCCCGTGCAGGAGGTGTCCAGAATTCCCATTTTAGAGGATGGAGGCAGCTGGGATGGTGGTTGGACCTGTCAGTGTTGTGGGAGTGCACGTGGCCTTAATCACAGGCTCTTCTGTGGGAGGTGCCTGGGGAGGACAGCAGAATGAAACCACCCCGTGCTGAGGGTGTCCTTCCCTTCCTGAGGGGCTGGAAAAGGCATTTCACAGGAAAAGCTCAGCTGGAACTCTTCAAGGTGCTTCTCTCTGGGATAACCTGGCTGATGTTCCTGCCTCCCCAGTGGATCCTGGGGGAAAGGGAAGGGAGGCAGCCTCAAAAGTCGGTATTTAACAAAAAGGCAGGGAAAGAATTGACCTTTTTAATCTATTTTTGGTATCTCTGAGGCTCCCTGGCCGGGGGGGCTCTGCTGTCTCTGTCAAACATTAAGGTGTACATGCATATACCCATAGTGCATGCACATAGATCTCGGTATTTAACTGGTGTATTGCAAAATGTATCAATGTTTGAAGAATTAACAAGTTCCTGCAGAGGCTCTCTCCGTTTTCTCTGACAGTATCTACAAGAGCTCTGTGCACACATGAAATGGAATTGTACATTTTCTAGTCTGGAAAAGAAGAAAAAAAAAAGAGCAGACTTTGCTTCTAAACCCGAGTGTTTGGTTTGTGAGTCTTTGCTTTGATCCCTCCAGGGTGTGAAAGGCTGAGAACTCTGGGCTCTAAGGAAAGGAGCTGTTGTCAATGGCAGAGCGGTGGTGGAGCTGTTCTGGGGGATTTGCTGCTTGTTTGGAGGGTTTCTGTGCCCGTGGAGTGAAGGGGTGCTGGTTTCCCCAGGTGTGGGCTGTGTGTGACCAGACACTGTGTGTTTACACAGCTCTTACCTTGGGTTTACCCTTCCCCTCTCGTGGCCACTTCCACTTTCTGTGGCTCTGAGGCCCTTTCGTGGTTCCTTTAGAACCCAAAATCTAAGCTGTCTTCTGTGTGGGGGGCAGTGAAAACAACCCAGCCACAAGCCAGGTGTGCCATGTCACGTGCAGCCACGAGTTCTGTACCTGTTCTGTGTTTCTGGGGGCAGATGTGGCCAGGATTCAGCAGTGCCTGATGTTCCCTGACACATCCTGTGCCTGCAGCTCCTCCAGGGCTTGGCACTCCCAGGTGGGCACACCTGGGGCTTTAAATGCTGATTTTCAGTCTGGGGGGGGGATGGTGGGGTTTGTCACCCCACTGCCAGCGATTCCAGACCCCCCTGGAATGGTTGCTGTGATGGTGCTTTGAATTCCACGTGTGGGAAGTTGAAAGTGTTTCAGTGCCCAAGAAGAACAGCCAGGCTTTTGATCTCTCAGACCCTTTGTGGTTGTGCTTCTTGTTTACAGCTGCTTTTTTTTTTTTCCCTTCCCTGCAGGACAATTCCCATTTTTCTCCTGGCTTTGTCCATAGAAAAACGAGGGAAGTTGGCATCAGTGCTGCTCCCAGCTCCACGTGGGGATTGTTGGGAATTATTGTTGGATTGTTGGAATTGTTGAATTGTTGGATTGTCTCAGCCCAAGCTGTGACCTTGGTTGTATTTCCACCCTCGGTGTTGTGCTGCCCTGGCTTCCAGCCTTTGCCTTTGTTCTCCATGGAATTCCTTCTAAGGCTATGAAATTCTTCCTTGGGATGTTCCATGGAGAAGGGAGAGGCCTTCAAAACTGGTTATTGAAGTTTAGGCTGCAGAAGGGCATTTTGTTAGCAAAAAAAAAAATGGTGTTAAGCCCTATTTCAATAATCCTTAAAATGTTTCTTTTGGTTTAGCAGGTGATAAATTCGGTCAGTCATCTTTAGAACGTGCTGCCTCTGGAATCTGGAAGTTACCCAGGCCTTTCACTGTGAGGAGAGGTGGAATATAAAGGTGGAAAATGAGAGCAGGGATCTCCCAAGCCTCACTTGTCGATGTTTTTCCTTCCAGGAGGGCTGAGGAGCCTCTCCCTGTGCATCCTGTGGGTGTAGGGGGAGGTGTGAGCAGTAAATGGACCTGACAGGCACCTTCCACGGCCTCTGCAGCTCAAGTGCCTAAAACTAATTCCATAATCCCGCTTTTCTTCCTGTGCTACAATTCCCATTTCCTTAGAGTACAAATTTATCATCTCTAAAAGCATCTCAGGGTGTGTTTTCCCTCCCCACACCCCAGTTCTGACGTGATGTGTGGTGACTTTGTCCCAGTTCTCCCCTCCATCCCCAGTGCTTTCCGTTGGTCAGGAATCCCCCACCTGCTCTGGGACAGGAAAGATGGGATTTGTTCCAGGATGCTTGGCTGGGATTCCTGTCCAGGAGCTCTGCTTAAATAACCCAGCCTGGGAATCCTTGGCCTTGTGAGCTCCTGGTGGAAGTGGCTCCTTCCTCCCTGGCTGGGGGAACGTTGACTTTGGCCCTGGCAGAGGAATTAGGGCTGAAAAGGCACTTGGAGCTCTCGGGATGAGTGGGACTGGAGCCTGGGGCTCAGGGAGGAAAACGTTGGCACAGATGTGACTGGGGGTGTTGCTGCAGTGAATGCATTAAATGGACAAAAATGGCAAATTACAGGGGGCTGCCACTGTGATTTTTTACAGCCTGTGTTGGAATCTCGAGCAGAAATTCCCTTCTTGCCTCACAGGTGGTTCATTTGTGTCTTGGATTGGAGCTCTTTCCACAGTGCAGCGAGTCCTGCACCACCCTCAGCCCTTGAGGGTGGATTTGGGGTGAGGAGGGACCGAGCTGGGAGGGGTTTGAAGCTTTTCCTCTTGGTAACTGTAGAAACCTTGGCTGAGGTGAATGAAGCTTTACCTGGGGGCTGGGAGTGGTTCTTTGTGCATCAGCAGCTCGGTGTCAGCTCCTGTGAATCCCTCCTGCCTCAAACACGGGGTGGGGGTGGGAGAGGGGGCCAAGAAAAGAGGGATTGTCGGGGAGAGGCTACAAAATAATGGAACAAACCAGCTCAGGTTGAGCCTGTGGGTACTGAATCAAACTGCTGGGGTGTGACAGAGCATCCAGCTGAACTCTGTCCATGTTCCCACGAGTGTTTTTGACACCTTTCTTCCCCAGTTCTCATCCAAAGCCTGGAATCCTGCAGCCCCAGGGCTCAGCTCCCAGCCAAGGACTGGATCCCGTCCCACCCTGCAGCACAGAACCTGGAATTCCTGGAGCTGGAACGTCCCAGCTGAGCCTCCCAGGGCTGTCCCTGCCTGCTCTGGCCTGTCTGCTGTTGACAAAGGCCGAGTCACATCGGTGTGAATCACCGGGCTCAGGTGCCCTGGGATCGCCTGGACTTTGTGCTTCTCTCTGGCTCCTTTCTGAAGGAAACGTGGCCGAGGCGGAGACTGCAATCAAATCTCCTTCCAGGAGGTGTAAAATGATGGCTTTGGATTAATCCCCAGACTTGGGAGGGCTGGAAGTTCCCAGCTGGAGCACCAGAGTCTGGACTCACGCTTGGATATTGAACTAATTCAGCTAAAACATTTTATAAGGCTATTTATTGGAATAAATTAAAACCATGATTCTATTAAGCAACTTCCCCCCCCCTGTAATTTTATCAGGACATTCCTTGAATTGCTGCCCCTTTGCCTCTTTCTGTCTCTCAAAATCTGCTTTTCGTGGAGCTGAAGGGAACTCATCCCGTTGTTTTGCTTCTTGTTGGAGCGGAACAAACACAAACTTGGGCTGGATTTGGGGTGGGGAGCTCTGTGCCATCCTACCTATGCATTTATAGGTGATGTCAGAACTGGCAGTTCTTTAAAACCTTCCAGTATTTATGATTTTAAGGTGCAGTCGCTGCAGTGCAGCTCCCCAAGCAAATCCCTGATTTCTGACCCAGATTTTGGGGCTGTGTGGGGTGAAATGTGCTGCTCTGCCCAACCTGGGAGGGGGGATTGTTTGGGGGGGTTCTCAGGGACGGGGTTGGTGCTCGGTCTGTGCAGGTGGGCAGTAAAATGAGTGTGAAATGCAGTTTTCCTGTGGAAAATGCTGAATCCCAGGGCTGTGATTTGGGAACATGGAGGGTACTTGGGAATCACGGCAGGGGGTTACAGGAACTTCTTGTCAAGCACAAAACCTGGAGCCAAGGCTTCCTTTTTTTTTTTTGACTGTGTAGGTCAGGCTGCTGTGCTCCCCCTCGTTGTTGTTTTTTTAATCAATACAGCACTTTCTTGGTCCTATTTACCACTTTTTAAATGCCAGGTGATGTTGTTACTCTCTTGTTGCACGCTCTGTGTTGATTTATTCTCTCTGAATATGGTTTTATTTTAATAGGAGGTTGAATCAGATGCAAAACTACAGAATGGTCGACTGTATTGGCGACAGTCAATAGAGTTAATTCTTGTAAATTATTTTTCAGTCGTGATTTGCTTTTTGCCTTCATTCTTCAGAACTGGAAGGACTTTTTCTCCTTCAGATGTGTGTGTATACATATATATATATACATGTAGGCAACTCTTGGGGGTCATGCAAAGAGATGCAGATCTCTTTGGGAACAATGAAAATTAAACTTTTTTTTAAACTACATTTAAACTCTTTTTTTTTTTTTTTTAAAGATTTAAAGATTCAGTGTAAATGGTGAAGAGGGAGGGCCTTGTCCTGTTGAATCCCCGCGTGATTTACTCGGGTTATGGCTCTGAAACCTGAATTCCTGGATGGGTATCAGAGCAGCAGCTGAACCAAACCATTTGGATGAAGCTGGCCAGGGAATTTCTCCTGGATCTGCCGTGCCTGGGATGCCAGAGGTGCTCCCTCCAGAGAGGCCAGATGGGGGCAGGAGCTTCCTTTTTACCAGCAAATTTTGGCTTTTCTGCTCAGTGTTGGAGGTGAGACCCTGCCCCTGCTGGAGCTTTTGCAGCTGATTTTAAAAGCTCCTTTAAAAAGGGTTTTTCTGCAGAGCCGGAGCTCAGTGGGTTCCAGCTGGCTCCGTGTTCCCAAAGCAGAGCTCGTGGAGCCCCAGAATGGTTGGGGTTGGAAGGGACCTTAAAGATCCTCTCATTCCAATCCTAGGAACGGGGTTTATCCCTGTCCAGTCCCTCGTGTTTTTGTAACATCTCCTGTAACCCAGCAGCTGAAGGTGCTGCTAAAAACCCCAAACCACCGTGCTGGAGTAATTTACCCCTCCGTTTGGCAGCCCATTAAACCCTCTAAAGTGGGGTTTTGTCTCTCAGGATGAGCTTTTAGCGCAGGCATTCACAGCGGTTCCAGGGGGGTCTCCCCGGTGCCTGCCTGGGACAATCCTATCTTTAGCCTCGCCTTAGTCTGGGTTGTTTCTGCTTTTTAACCAAAGTCCCTCCTCGCTAAACCTGCCATGGCCACGTTTTCTGCTGCTTTTCCACGGCTTGTTTTTCCACAGCCGGTTCCATCGAAGGAACCGCTCCCTTCACACCTGAAAACGATTGACGAGCTTTGCCAAACAAAGCCAAACAAACCCGGCACGCGTTTATTGCTGGGAGAGCCGCGGATCAACAACAACAACAGCTCCGCGAGAGTTTTGTAAATCTTCGCTGTGCTTTCCAGCGAAGATGCTTCTTGCTTGACGGGGAATTTCCAGCATGGAAATTGTTCCACCTTTGGTGGAACCCGACCAGCGCCGAACGCTCGGATTGGGAAGGGGGTCATTCATTGTTAATTAAGCCAACCCAGAGGAGCGCGGGCTGGGAACACGAT